TTCCCTCACCGCCCCTGTAAGCCCCCAGCCGCCCCCCGCCTCGACGCCCGAGTATGCAGGTAGCAGGGTGGTGGCATGGACACCCGACCTCCCCTCCCTTGTCACCCCTCACTGGTGGCTCTGGTCCCCTCTGGGAAGGCCTGGTGCCAGCGCTGAGCCATTTTCCCTGCTATGTTGCAGGGTGACTTGGATGTGCAACCTGTCTTCTGCCACCCCACTGCTCTCGTCACTCCCAGCACCCTCCCTGCAGTGTCTTGGGTAGTTTGGGGCCCCAAAAGTTGTTCTTTTCCAGGCTGGGGACACCCGTCCTGCCCTACTCCTCTCTCAAACGAAGGACCAGGTTAGAATGGCAGGGAGAAAACTGCCCCCCCCGAGCTCAGGGAGCCTTGTCTGGGGGGAATGATCCCACTGCCCCCAGCTCAGCGGGGAGGGCTGCACTGCTAGCCCCCACCTAGGAGGGTGCCGGGGCTCTGGGATGGTCTGTCCACGGTCCCACCAGGCCTACGGGGAGCAGATGCTGACAGGACTTGGGTGGCTGCAGTGCCCCCGTCCCCGACCCTCCTTGGTCCTGCAGCAAAGAACCGCGCTGCCTGAGCCCCGTTAATGAATAGTGAGTCAAAACCAGCAGCGCCTGGGCTGCAGCCGGGCCGCCAGCACAGAAAGGGCTGCGTTACTGCCTGCGGCTACTTGTCATCGCCGTCTGCTGCCTCTGCAGACGGCCACTGTGCCCTCCCAGGGGCAGGGACCCCCGAGGCAGCTCTGCTCTGCCCCAGGCCAAGGCAGCCAGGTGAGTTTCCACTGAGGCAGCAGGCATGGCAGTCTCAAGCTTGGCCAAAATTTCTTAGGCAGTCAAGGCCTATCTATCTGCTCCTGTCCAGCAAAATAGGGAGGGAATACAAAGTTTCTGCAGACAGAAATATTGGTCTGCTGGCTGAAGAGCGGCCTCCCTAGTTAAAGTTTATTTAAGGGACATCTGCTCTCCTCTTCACTCCCCAAGATGTGCACCCCTTCCCTCGCCGGGGTGCTGCACCCCTGGGACAGCCTTCCTCCTGTGCTGGCAGCCCCCGTCCTCCCTCCAAACCACTCTGCTCCTCTCCAAACCTCTCCCCATGGACATCTCTCACTCCCTCTCTGTGGACATCTTCCCAATATCTGATTTCTTCTTGTCTGACTGATTTTTCTATTCCCAGTGCATTCTGTTCTCCCAGTACGTTATTTCTTCTACGTTTCTCTACGCTTATTGTTCTCCGAGTTCCTGTCCCCAGGCCCTTTTGCGTCCCCAAGTACGCATGGTGAGGCTGGGATAACTCTGTTTGAGTAAACACCCCTGTCAGGATACATATGGGCTTAGTCCGCTCCTCCTAGGCCAAGTTCTATGCGCAGTTTGTTTGGAAAGAACTTAATCAGATGAACAGTATCAAAGGACTAAATTAAAATGATCGCATATAGCTATGGTTTTATTTAATTGGTTGGGGTTGCTTGTTTAATAATCTTCCCCCTGAGCAGACACAGACTGTAAATTTATCTTCTGAGGATTTCAAAAGTTCAGCGGCCAGAACAAAGCCCAAATTGCTGAAGAGGAGCAGTGACAAGTATCTCTAACAGTTGGTCCCTGGACTGTTTTTTAAATTTAAACCAGTAGCTATCATCTTAAAATGTCAGAGGATGAGTTAGTATTTCTCCTTAACAGCAATACACTTGCCTATGGCACTGACACGCTCCATTTGGTTTTTAAAAGATCACATCTCCCTGGGAAATTTCAGAGACAGCTATAAAGAACATGTTAAAATACACATACAATTTGTTCGTATTAGACCTGTTGGGAACAGAAAGAGGTTCTGTAAAGCTATTTCTGGGGCAGGGCTAGGGTTTTTATAGCCATAAAGTGCCATCCTGACTTTCACAGTGCAAACACTAAATACACTAATATCCCCGTGACTGCTGTGTGTCTGTGTGAAGTATCTTCCTTTCCCTCTGGAGCTCAGTCCCAGCACACGGCACGCAGCTCTGCGCTTCCACAGTTTCCCGGAGCTTCCCAAATCACCTGCCTCTCGCTTCCCTGTGCTCCTCTCTCTCTCACTGCCCTCCTTTTTTGCTGCACTGCCTGCCCTGGCACCCTTCGTTCTGCACCTTTTGCTGTGGTTCAGGCAGCAGCTGCAGCGGGGTAGCAGGGAGAAGGACTAGCTGTGCTGCATACCAGGGAGAAAAAACAGCAGATAACAAGATATGCTCTGGCCATAATCTTAATTTTTTGGGCGCAAATCAGATTGAAAAATCAAAGTCCTTTAGGTTGCATCCTAAAACTGAGCTCTTTGTACATTAATTGCTGAAATGGATGCTGTCCGCAGCTGATGGCAGAGCGGCTCAGCCCAGCTATGTGTGCATAAGGCTTTTCTATGAGATCATGTATTACATAGCGACAGCACGCCATGCTATTCCAGACCAGCATGGCCGATGCCAGCACAGCTTTGCTGGCAAAGCCCAGCTTTGTACCAGTCCCACCTCAGAAGCAGGCACAGCCCGGATCTAAATGGGAAACAGCACAGCAGCAACCCAGGAACGTGGCATGGCCGTGTCTGGCTGGGGCTAAGGGCTGGTGCTGAGGGTCCCACTATTTGAATAAATCCAAGCCATTTGAGTAAAACATGTGAAAATCCGTTATTTATTGAACTTCCCCCACACACATACCCCTTTCCTTTTTCCTCTTCCTTTCTTCTTGCTGCTCTACTTCTGGGTGTTTGCTTCAGGAGCTGCTTCTCTTACCCCAGCCTCTTGTACTACACCCTGCCTCCTGCCAAGTCTCCCCTCCATCTCCTTCCCTACTTTTTTCCTCCTGTTTCTTTTGTGCCTTCCCATGTCTCACCCTGTCTTTCAACCTCTCTTTTCCTTAAGCAAATTCCCTCACTCAGACTTTTTGGTTCCCTCTTTTTGAACCATCCCAGCTTCCACTTGTTGCCTTGGTCTGTCCTGTATCCACCAGCCCGTACAAGCTCCCCTCTCTTCACCAGCCCAGACCTCGTTTTCCCTGCCTGGTACTTCTCACCGGGATCGGTGGTGTAGGTGGCTGGCAGGAGCCCCGCTGCTCGGGGTGGGAGTGCAGTGGGCAACAGCACTGCAGCCCCCCGACTTCATGGCCCTCATGGAGGTCAAGAGGAGCCAACGGTTTGAGGGGAATGAAAAAAGCAATGTACTGGCCCCAAAATTTCAAGACTGAGTTTGCAGTTAGTCAGCTAAGCTGCACTGGTGGCTCAGAGCCTCTAATCGCTCCATGCTCCTGATATTGTAACTGCATACTCCTTTATGTGTGGAAGAGTGACTTTATTTACCAAGCTACATTACACAAGGATTTAGGCATATGTTGCCTTTGTATTAATATTGTACTATGTTTCCAGTTTATCTTTCCCTCCTCACAGCATCTCTTTTCCTCCCTAATTACAGAAGCTGTCATTAGTTCTTTTTCCTATTTATAATGGTGTAATTATGGCAAAAATAGCATAGCTACTAGCCAAAATGTTGTGGGTTTTTTTTTTTTTTGAAGTTATTAAAGAGAGGAATACTTACATTTAAAAATATTTATTTACATTCAAAATACAGGCATCACATCTGTATAAAACATTCATTTTAATCTCTGTTTTCAGAAATTCAGATGCAGATGTTTGTGAAACTTTTCCTTCTAGTCTATCAAACAAGAGATGCAAAAATATTTATGCTGAGAACACTAAACATCTTTTCTAAATCCGCAGCACTAAGGCAATGCAAAGTGTAGGCTGCTCCCCCTCCTCCGAGCCTCCCTCACGAGCCTGAGCACCCTTTCCCCGGCGCGACTTTCAAATACTGCCCAGGAATTTGTGCTAAACGGAGCGGGACCCTGAAAGCATTTACAGCGCGGTGGCCTTGCACCTTCATCCCCACGCAGCCGAGCCAGAGCCGTGCATGGCTGCCTTCCCTGGGAAAGCTTCTTCCTCCGTCAGCACCAGGGCAAAACTTTGCAGTGCCGACTGACTTTAAACACTTATTTAAAAATTTACTGATACAGAAAACCCCGAGCTCAGCCTGAAGGGAGTGGTCTGTGCAGCAGGGCCCTGCCAGCATGGCTGTACCAGGGGGAGTGCAAACAAGTTGTGTCCCCAGCTGACACACAGGCAGGGGTACAGACGGCCTCGGCGGAGACCCCGCATGCTGTGCTGGGAGAGGCGGTGGCCCCAGGGGACGGACAGACATCTCCTCTCAGACTTGACCGCGCTGTTTGAAAGTGGCATCTCTGCCAGCTGCAGGCTACTGCTAGCCCCAGCACCCGGGTCTGGTGGCTGTCACAGGGCTGGTTTGGGTTTTCGGAGCTGGGGGAGCACTCCCACAAGCCGTCCTGCTGGTGACTCCATCGAGGCCACAGCAGAAAGGGGGTCGAGGAAGGCGCTGGGTAGTACCTGGGCTGCTTGGGAGCAACCGAGCGAATCTCCAAGCCTTCGGGGTCCATCTGCCATCGCCCTCCTCCCAGCAGGAGAAGGGGAGCAGCAGGACTTTTGCTTCCCTGAAATTCTCGTCAGATCCAGAGAGTGGCTCCATCGCCTCACAGGGCTGAGGGCCGTGGCTGGGAGAAGATTACAAACCCCCACTCTTTCGGCTTTCCCTCTGTGCAGAAATCCCCCAGACTTCTGGCTTTGCAATGAGCAAACTTCACCTTCCCTGTGCAGATCAGCAAGAAACCTGCCGGCGCGGGCGGCGCCGGTGGTGCCTTGCCGTAGGCAGCGCTGCGAGACTCCCACTCCTCTGGCAGCACCTTGACCCGCGGCTCCCTCACTGCATGCTCACGAGGAATCTCCTACGCGCTAGGGCATTTTGGAGACCATTCGTTCCTCTGGGGGAAAGAGATTGATTGATTGATTGCTTTTCTTTTTTTTTTCAAGCGTAAGAGGAAATAAAACCTTTTTTTCCTTGGAGATTATTTACAAGGCATTGTCTCTGATATTGCCAGCTGACATCCTTTGGCGTCACTACCACTCAGTGCACTGAAGATGCCTCAAGGTGTGTCAGTCGTGCTTCACGTCAGTGTGCCTTGATGTATCTCTTTGGCTGGGATTGAAAGGTACAGTTTCTAAATCTTCTGGTGACCCATTTTGCACGGATCACTGGTGCGCTAGAATGTAGCTGCTCCTTCCCATCGTGTTAATGCAAGTTTGCCCACGTTCAAAGCAGCCTGTGCTCCACGTGCCACACTGAGCACATGGGGAGAGCTTGCGCTTGAGCCTCTGCGTGAAACAGGCACGGCTGCTATAGGCTTGATATCTTCTGCACAAGTTATATGCTTTAGGTGCTTTTGTTGCTATGTCATGGTCCTTTTATTTAAACCTTGTAAATTCTTTGGCTTGATAAACACAGGCAGACAGCTGGATTATGTTAATCTGGGGCTCACAGTTAGCAAGCACAGTGAATTCTCCCAGGTTGCGGGGGCACCCTCTGCTCCCTGGGTCCCATGGGCCCCACCAGGCTAAGCTGGGTGACGATGCTCAGCAGTATGTCAGCAGGAGGACCAAAGCTCCTGTGAGGGAGCAGCTTAGCACCACCTACAGTCACAGGCTGCCTGCTCGAGTGCCCTTGAAGCCAGTCCTGGGGACGGCCCTAATTAATACTTAATTAATACTTCCAGGACAACCCTGTGGCTCCCTGTGGCTGCGCGCTGCCCTGTCTGCCTGCGTGCTGGTCTGGCAAGGAAGGCGGCGGGTAGGCAAAGCCTCGGGGGCCTTTCTAGAGGGCCTCAAGGCCCAGCTGCGATGGCAGATGGGATTTGTGGGCAGTTCCAGCCCCAGGAGTGCTCAGGCTGCCTGCAAGGGCAATGCAAATGCGGCGCACCTGCCTGCAGGGCACCCTGGCCTTCAGAGCCCTTTCAAGGCTGCCTGGCTGGGGCACAATGTAAACCCGGCCCTGATTTAGTCCAGGAGCTAGTTCTGCTGGGATGAATCATTTAACCACACAAGCACCCCATGACTCTGCCTCTCATTTCCATGTTGTCCCTCCTTTTCCCACTCCACAGTGGAAATGATGGCCTGATCCTGTCCTGGAGATGCATGGGCATGGACCGCAACAGAGAAACGCTAGGAAAACAAGGAAGCCTTCAAAGGGATTTCAGTTACATAGATGACAGAACAAATCTGGGTGAATGGGTCAGATCCTCCCCATCTTCTGTTGTCATGTGCCCATTATCCTCCAATTTTCTTTCATGGAAAAGTGGGTCTTGAAATTAATGCTGCATTAAGAGGTATGTGGCAGCTCATACCATCACGTCATATTCTTGCAAAGCTACGACCATATCTTTGTCATGATTCATATTTTCAAACCCCCATTTTCAAACTCCGTTACAGTTTTTCAGTAGTTCATCTGTGGGCAACTCACATGTTTCTGAGTCTTGTTTGCCTAGTTAAAACAAACAACAAACTCTAGACACACAAAGTTTTTAATGAAACTGTGATGCAGTTGCATGGTCCTGTCCTTTCCTGGGGGCACAACAGTCTCAGTTCCCTAAAATCACCCAGGGATTACGGGATTGCGGTGCAGGAGCGAGGGCTGTAGGTGGGGACCTCGCTGCCTTTGCCGAAGTTGAGCCCTACAGAGGCAGCATTTGTCTGTTTGTTTCGGCAGGGTTCTCCAACTGGGAAGTGAGGACACAGGCAGATGAACAAGTTACTGCAGGGGAAACAAGGGGTGTGAAAGTTCGGCATCTCAGCTACTGCCAAGAAACTGCTCTTATGTATTCTTTAACCCCCTTATAAACGCGAATTCACTTCCCCTCTCCCACAAGGGATGAGATACCTGGCTTTAGCTACAAGGTACCGCCAGGCAAGAGAGTGCACGTGGACACTTGCCACCAAAGAGCAGCCAAACTGTAGGTTGATGCTACCTTGTCCTGCAGTTAGTTGGTTGTCTTCCTGAACTCTGGGGCACAAACGTTAATTTCCCTAAAAGCCCCACACCAAAGTCCTGATTCAGGTGAGGGAATGGCATGGGAGCTTCCCTGCTCGCTGGCCTTTGCCCTGCAGCCACTTGCAGGCAGCAACCTGGTTTGACTGAAACTCTTCAGGTTTCAGCAACAGGAAATTGCAGATGAGCGAACGTGCTCTAAAGTGCACTTACACAGTTTCAGTCGCAAGCTGTGAAAAGTAGCAGCTCCCCGAGCTCTCAACTTCAACGCTGCTATTAATACTGGTTTTTCTAATAGCATCGAGATCAATGGAGGATCAGAGCCTCGTTGTAGTAGACAACCTCCCGATGACACTCAAGAAACCAAGAAACACAGTTCGCTGTCTAAGCATCCCAGCAAACCTCCAAGCACATTACAGTGGCCCAGCCACAATAAAGAGGGTTAGGAAGGCAACTTTATTTTAAAACCTAGTTTTCTGGGATTTCCTCTGCCAGGCAGCAGCAGAGGCACACTGAAACACTCCTCACGGCAATGACAGATGCTGTTCAGGGGCCATGAGAGGAGAAACTGGGGTTTTGGCCAGTGCATTATTCCTTCTCCTTGGGGAGCCCCAGGGACTGCTCTCATACAGGTGTCGGTTGGAGCACTGGCAGGGAGAAGATCCCTGCCCCAAAATTGCGTAGGCTTTGTAAGATGTCCCCGAGGACTTAACACCACTCTGGTTTCCACACTGCGCTCACCAGTAATTTAGACAGACTGTGGTAGTACAAAGGCTGGTCAAGATGGTTGAATGAACTCCCAGGACTCCCTGAAGCACTGGAGCCTGAAAATATGTTCCCTCCTAAGCAGGCAGGAGAGGGATGGGTGCATGGCTGGTAGGAGTAAGGCTGGCTGGTTTCTGCCCCGTGGTGAGGCAAGGACCCTTCCTGCTGCCCGGGGACAATAGGTCCTGTCCTGGGAGCGGACTGGTTTCAATATGCGGCTCTCCATCTTGATCCAGTTTGGATGGGTCAAGACATGTTGAGACATGCCCTTTCAATATGCTGCATTTTATTAAAAACAAAGTAGCTGTGGGCCAGATTGTAAAACTAGGTGGGCCTCATTTGTCTGTCCCTACTGTAAGCCAATGAAACCTTCAACATATCCAAACTCTCACCTTTTTACCCATTTGAATGAAAAAGCATCACTAATAAAAGAAAATGACTCACCTAATGCTAAACCTGAGCTCTGTAGATCAGCTTTGATCAAATTCACTGACATTTGGGTAACTGCATTATTATAACTAAAACATCTTTTAAAGGTTTTTTTTCCAGACGCTCATTCTTTAAACTTTGCTTTGATCACTGTGCATATCCTTTTCAGCAGAAATTTGTCCACAGAGGGTGAATTTTTTTCATTTGTTTTTCATATGGATTCTCTTTCCTTTGTTCATATTTTAAATCAGTGAAGCTACCCTTCGAGCTAACCCTTATAATAAAAATGCAGCTACTGTGTGGCTTTTAACAACTCATTTAACCCATCTGTGTCTCAGTATTCTTGTTAGCAACCCAAGGAAACTAACATTTATGCAGCGAGGATGATCGTGAGGCTAAATTAGATATTTTTTTTGTAGGATAAAGTAAACATTTCAGAAGGGCAGAGCAGAGAAGTGGTAGTCTCTGTTACGGTGGTCTAACACCACCAATTTGTAATATGTTACAACAGTAGTGTTTGTTACAAAATGCTGTGCAAAAGAATATTTCTTTCAGAAAGTAGTTTTGAATTAGTCCAAGTGCTCCAGTTTCCAAATAAGAGTCATGATCCGAGACGATTAAAATAAATGGAAGCAGGAAAGAATGTGTCAGGACAATTACAAATTAAAAGATTGAAATCACTGAAGCTGGAAGGGCAAAAATTCACCGGTGTATAAATACGTGTCTGTGTATGAAGCTCAGCTTTGAATGCTGAGGAGAGTACAGTTTGACTTTGCTTTTTCTATGGAAAAAAAAAATCACACATCTATGATGCAATAAGATCTACTTTAGCATTAGAAAAATGCATTTATAACCAATTTTCCCCTTGCAAGCAAGCAGGAAGACTATTTAAATTTTAATTTGCTAATTATCATTTATTGTCATTTGACCAGCCAGCTGGGGAAGGTAGACGCCGATCGTTCATTCCCAAAGCGGGCGGCTATCAGGCTCTAGAGTCAAGATAGTACTTATTAGTGTTTTTTTACAGCATGGGCAGAGTTCTTGTTATAGGTTGTAATAGCGGTGGATTAACTGCAAATAATCTTCAAAACTTTGAAGTCTAAGGCTGTAGAACCTTTTACCATATTCTAGAAAAAAGTGAATGTGTTCAAATAACCTTTGCTGGCGAGAGTCTTCCCCTGTCTCGTACCGAAGTGCAGTGTTTAAGACTCGTATGACTGCCTGCGCGGCCATTTTGCAAACACGTATGCACGTCATCTGACAGAACGAGCCCTTAAACTCTGTACGGCTTCTGTCACGAATAAAACTATTTATGAGCGCACACATTTGCAAAGATCAGGCCCCGCGAACGTTAGCTCCCCATCAAGCTTGTTAGGGATGGCTTGTTTTCCCAACACGCTTTAGGCTGAGGATCCCTATTAATATAAATCTGCTTTAAACAGGAGATAGTAATTTTTTAACGCAGACATTCTCTAATATTTTCATGATGTGGCTCATACCTTAATAGATAGCAGTTGCGATGCAGATCTAGCCGTGCAGCCCACAGTTGCATAACATATTTGCGGTAATGAGAACCCTAGCCGACATGGAAAATTAATATTAAGAAAATTAATATAAGGAAAACCTTTAATGGGCTTTTGTCTGTGTCTAATGCAATTTAGCAGTTAGCAGAAGGA